CCTGCCACACAGGCTATACATGTATTAAAATATTACAGATGTTTTGGTAGTCCAAACCAATTTATTTACAAATAATATTATTTAGTATAACATAGTACACTTTAACAATATTGTTGACATATTATCAGTAGAACATTGATTAAATGCAGCTGGTTGACACTTTAAAGTAGCAATACACTAGCAAGAAATACATTTTTGTTAACTAGAAACAATGTTGGCTACAGCACTAGTGAGAATGCTATCAAGTTCAGCACATTTTACTGAAAACTGTAGAGCAGAAGCCAAAGACCTTTTTAGCTTTGGCGGTGTGTTTCCCACGTGATATTCTCTAGAGCATTCTTTTATCCATCTAAAAATTATTCATTCATAAATACACATGTGACTATTTGAAAATTTAAAAGCAAGAATTCTCACAAGTATCACCACATGGTCTGAAATGAGGCGACAAACTGCCCAAGCTAAAAAGGTTCATTACAATCTTCAATTTATGGACTGATGAAAATGTGAGTTGCAATGAAATTCTTCATTACATAATCAATTCCAGCACCGTTATACATCTTCAGATTCCAGCCGTTCCGGCAAATTACAAACTTGGGCATTCTTTTGTCTAGTGAAAATGACAATGGCCAATACTACCAGACAAACTCAAGGTTTTCTGTCGTCTCTTCCACTGGTCACCAGACTATGCTAAAAAAATTGTGGCCTGCTGTCATGTCGCACAGTAACGACTAGGCCCAACATCAAACCACTTGACATCTACCAGATTAGAGATAAACCAGATACATGAAACACCCGAGTGTCATTTTAGAGAAGATTAGGTTTTCCAAAATGATATTAGAGTATTGTTATCTTGGTCTCTGTTGGTTGTTTTCTATCTCGTTCTGAATGTTCTTGACAAAGTTTCTTGTGAAGGAGACAAGTCTTTTTGAAACTTGAGGATTTTTTTGAATGCTTTCCTGTGCCTCATTTGATTTGACTGCTTTATCCAGGGCATCATTCCCTAAGAGAAGTAATTTGAAGGCAAATCAAAGACTGTTAAAAATCATGTTTGTTTAGTCAGTTATACAATGTGATTTTTTCTGTTTGAAGTTCATTGAGGTCAGCAATCAGAAACCGCTACTTTAATTTGAGGGAAGACAAATACCCAGGAATTAAGTAACTTACCCCACAAGGTTAAGCGCCTGTACGTGTAATGAGTCAGCTGTGCAAGACGACGTATGGGATACGTATTTGCAAGCTGCCGACAAAAAGAATTTTAATTAAAAATTAAATGAGCTTGGAAAAGATGAAGACAATCATAACCAACTGTGTGAGAATGAGCTCCTGCTATGTTCAATACCCTCCCCCAGTGGGTGGGGGGAGGCATGGGAATGGGAGCCCAGCAAAATAGGGGGTGGGAGGGTTATGGGAAGCAGCAGGGGAAAGAACAAGAAGCAGGAGTTCTAAGAGAGGAGGATGGGAGAGAAATGCAAAATTTGTGCTTGGGCTAAAAAAAAAAACTGGGATTACTTCCAGTGAAATTTACAGTGGCTATGTCAGGTCATGAAATGTAAAGCAGCATGACTGCACATGTGGTGCATACGCTGTCAAAAAAAGTAAGCAAAATGAGCAAGGCTGAATACAACTTGTCTAAAAACAAAGGAAACGTCTTAGAATTAAGTGGCCGAATGACTAGGATGTGTTTTGAGTCTCCTAATTTACAGGGGATGGGAACAGGACAGAAAAGGGCAGGAGTTGGGAGAGCAGGATATGTGAAGTGGGAAGTTTTGACCCCTCTGACTCCCCTGTCCCCTCACCCCCAAGCCCTCAGGAGTTTGAAGGAATGATGATGGTTCCCATTTTTCTATCATTCAACAGGAGACCATGGGGTAATCAGAAACAGTTAAGTTCAAGTAACACTGATATACTCAATGTGTTATATAGTAGATACACATGCAACCACTAAATTAAATAAAGTTAATTAAAATACTGAGCACTTGAGTTTAGATAGCAGGATTGCTACCTGAATTGTCACAATGTACACAAACTTCAAATTTACAAGTGATAATTTTATGCAACATATTTTATGCAAACTTACTCTTTCAACAACTTGTTCATTGGCCAGAAAGCTAGTACAAAAACGGATAAATCTTTATTACTGAGATGCAGAAGTAAACAGACCTCACACACTCAACCGTTCTCCCACTTGACTAGTCTGAGATTCAGTTCCCCAAAAATTAACATCAAATGTGAAATGGCATTTGAAACAGTGTCAAAGGGTGATTAAATGAAGAAAGAATTACAGGTACGTGATGTGTGTCAAAATTCTGACAGTGATATGAGGAACTTCTGTAAGTGGTTTGAAATTTAGCCGTGGTGGGGGGGGGGGGGGGGGGGGGGGGGGG